TTTAAATTATTAAAATCTCAATAAAAGATTATAATCATACTTATAATAATTTATTTTTTATTAATTGATCTGATATTCACAACTAACACTATAAAAATTATCAATTATTATTTGTTAATTTTTCAATCAATAGTAAAAAATTATAAATAATTAATTTATGATTTACAACTGATTCTTGTAAATTCTCAAATCTCAACCACTTCTACAAATAATTTTTTTTTAATGTAAACTGATACAAACATTGCCAACTGAAAAACCAAAAACAAACAATACAAGCAAAGACAAAAAAGCACTACAACATCGCATGCAGACGACCCAGTTTTGCCGTTCTAGTTACGTGCCTTCCCTACATTCTAAGATCTAAACCCATTCAATTAGTTTACACGATAAACTGAAAAATCGCTTTGGACACCAATTTCGTCTTCTCTGCTTCTACTCCAGCCAGATTGGATGAAGATCTGGATCCTCCTGCTAACTGTTATATAGTCTGATGCACTCAATCTCACCACCTCTATATAACAGTCAGTAAGATAATCTCTATACAGAGGACGCTATATATAACCTATTTTTAATAGTGTTAATTATAGGACAAAGTTTTAAAGTTTCATTTGGTATTAAATAAAAGAAAAAATGTAGTAATGGTGAATTTTTTCTTAATATTGCCCCTCATTAATTATGCCAAGTTGTAATTTCTAGACAAATTTTATTGTGATCATTAATTTTAATGAAAGGCAAAATTGAAAAGTCAAACATTTATCTTTAATTCTTAATCATACATGGTCAATTTATTTTTATGTTATCAGCATATTTTTTACCACGTTAGAAAATAAGTTAATAGAGTTATGGTAAAATTATTTCCATCAATGTTAATTAGCTTGTAGTTTTTATGTGCATTTTTAAAACCATGAGGACTAATTGATGTTGCAGGCTAATGAAACTAAAAAGACTGAAAACAATAAAATAAAACTACATGAATCAACGATAAAGCACAATTTAAGTACAAAGATATAATATTATGTTTTCCCTGAACTTAGCTTTGTTTTTAAAAATAATTTTCAAATTGAAACTTTTCTCTTTTAAAATTCTCAACTTCGCCGCCCTTGTCCCTATTTCATGATTTCATATTCCTTACAATTATTTTTTGTTAGTTTATACTTAATTATATAAACAATGAATTATATTTCATGAAATTTTATCATGCATGTTGCTGCATTAAATTTTATTTTGGAAAAATAATCTTTTGTTTTTTTAAATAGCTATGTCAGGTCTGAGCATAGTTGGATCTCATCAAAGATAATTGTTTTATTTTATTTTATTTATTTATTTATTATTTTTCTCTTTCATACGAGATCTTGTGCTTTAAGTAATCATATTCCATTTCATTAGAATTAATACTTGATGGTTAAAAAAACAATACTCTTTAAAAGCAGAGTCAAAACGCAGTCAACTTTTTTTTTTTTTAATAAAATACACGGAAGCTGTTACATTTCCATCTATCAAATATGGCCATAGTTTCTTTAGCATTGCTCTCCTTCTCTCCATATTTTGTGTAATTTTTGTAACTAGCCTTTTATAGTTTTTACAATTAGTTAGCATCTTAAATTTTAAATTATTATGTGAATAGCATGTTCAACCATAAATTTTTAAAATGTAAAAAATTTTCTCACAATATTTAAATTTCAAATACTTGAAATCTTACCGTTAAATTGCAGAAAATAATCGTTATTTTTAAAGGTCAAAGTAAACATCATATTAGTGTGTGACTAGGCTCCCAACTATAAAAGTAACAATATTTGCTAAATCATAGATCCACTTTACTATTGATTTTAGTTACATATACAATGAATTATCATTTCCCAAGACATCATGAATTTCTTCTAACTATATATATATTTATCTTACAATTAAAATATGTAAGTAGTTCAATCTAGCTTACATAACAAATTAACTCTAGTTATCTCACTCCAATAGCTTGAATAAGCTTGAGTAAGCTATGGATGTTCATGCCCGAATATAAGAATAATCTAACCTTAAAAAGCTTCAAATCATTCTCGAGGTCTTAAATAATGGAACCCACTCTTTGAAATCTGAAATCTCCCTCGCACGAACGCACTCTCTCTTTCCAAAACGCCTCTGCTCTCCCCTGTGCGTTTTTGCGTTGGCGGCGGAAAAGAAACGGTGGGGGAGGGCTTTGCTTTGCCGCTTTAATAATAGTGGGCGGGCCCCACTATTTCATTTCCATTCCATTTTTTTTGTTTGTTGTCATGGAAAGAAGAGAGAAGACCTTGAAAAGAAATTTAACATCTAATAAAAATTTGAACAAGTCATACTCATTAAAATTTGCATTTTATTTATTAATCATTAATATTTATTTGTAGAAAGTCCTTGCCAGTTATTAAAAGATATCCCCAAGTCCAAAGAAAGAGAATTCGTTTGTTTCGTCCCAGGTGCTGCCCGAATCCAGCTGGGACCCACTGGGTTTGTTGTTGAAATTTGACATACGGGTTTTTAGACCGGGACAACTCTACCATGTGTTTTGTTCCAAAAAATAATTAAAATTAAATTTTTATCATTTGTCTCGTCTTTTTTTAAAAGTCATCTCATTTCTTTATGAATCAAGACGAGATTAAGAAAAGATAAGAACATCCTACCATCCTGATAACACGAACAATGTAAAAGAAAAACTTGAATAATAATATCTATTAATTAAAATTTTAAATCACATAATTTATTAAATTTAAAACTAATAAAATATAAATACATAAATCACAATAATTATTAAATTACATCAATCACAACCACAAGTATATAACTTAAGGTGAAGTATATATGAGACATAGTATATTATGATAGCAATTACAAGTAATTTTTAGGGTACAAGAGCAATAATAACAGATAAGTTTGGGACACCATCAAGTCATTTTTCTTTTTTTTTAGTTGAAATATGTTAAGCTAGTGACTCTTTTAAAAATAAAGTAAAAAATATGATATAAATAAAAATTATTAAATTGGTAGACATAAGAATAAATTATATTAATATAGTTAATATATTGTAAAGAAAGATATTAACCTGTACTGCTTACTTTGTATCATTAAAATTATCAATATAAAAAAAATTTAGTTTTAAATAAGAATAGCATGAATTGAAATTATAATTAATATAAATATAAATTGTATTAATATAATTAATATATTTAATGTATATTTTTAAAATAAAAAATAATATATATCTATATAATATTTGGGATGGGATGGGATATCTTGAGGGCAATCTTGTTAAAATAAAAAATAATATATATCTATATAATATTTGGAATGTGATGGGATGTCTCAAGGGTAATCTTATATCTCATTTGGTCTCAAATATCTTTTCTATCTTGTTTCGTAAACCTCTGCCCAAATTGCTTTCAGATCAGATTCATCTTGATATAACCAAAATAGAAGCAGGTCAATTGAGTTAAACACCCTATTTGACCCTCATCATTGCCGAAATAGGATTTGGGAACATGGGACAATTATGACGCAAGAGTGGCGCACGGGAAGAAAGATTCATAATAAAATCTGAGGTGGGGAATGGAGATATACTCCCTCCAATTATTTTTTAATTTCTTATTTTTTTAATTAATATAAAAATATTTAATATAGTTATATTATTATTAAAAGTTAATGATAAAAAAATAAAATACTTCTAATTTTTTTATAATATTACAGAAATTTAATTTTTTTTAAAATGTGTGAAACAGCTGAAACTGAAGCAAAAATTGAGAAGAATATATATATATATATATATATATGAATGAACTAGACATAAAAATAAAAAATATTTGGTATGCAGTAAAAAGAAAATGAAACATTTCTTTAACAAGTTTGTGATGAATTCAAAGGTCCTATTTTTTTTAGAAGAATTTCAATTAAGGATCATTATAGAATCTTAATTTTAAATGGGTCTAAAAATATTTTAAAATTTAAGTCTAGTGCAGGGGAAAAAACAAAAGAATTTTGATGGTAAAAAAATTAAAATATCCTTCATTTATTATGAAGAATCACTAGCTGTTAATTTCTTACTATATTTATTAATTTACCGATATTACTTATAAATTACATCCGTTTGTCAGACAGTCAGTAATATTGGTTATTAATTTATTAACTTTACTTGTTAATTAACTAATATTATTTATAAATTACAAGACCTATTAGTAATTTACAATTGATATTAGTAAATTAATAAGTAAAGTTAATAATTTAACAACTGATGTTATTGTTTATGATTGAAAAATTAATGTTAAGCCTTATATACTTATTAACATATCAACTTATATAATTTATAACTCATTCGCAAATTAACAAGTGAAATAAGAAAATTAACAACCAATTGAAGAATATTTTGATCTTTTCACTGTCAAAATTCTTTTGAATTTTCTCTTTTGTACTGAATTAAAATTTTAAAATTTTTTTGAATCCACATGAAATTATGTTTCTAACTAATATTCTCTCCCTTTTTTTATAAGGGCTATTTTTTACTTTTCTCACATAATCCGATAATGCACAACTATTTCTTCTTCTCAATTATGGAATAATTTTGAGGCTCAACTTTTCAAATGAAAGACATCTCCTGGGATGGAAAGAAGAGAATCAGCAGGAATCAAATGAAAGACGATAGGACAAGAGAGAGCCTTCTTAGGTAGACAATCAGCAAAACAAGTTTGAGCTACAAAATCTGTATTACTTATAAAGTACAAGCATGGCTAATGAGTACGAAATACAGAAGAGAAGCGTGTTTAATTGCAGCCAAGATTCCTTGGGATATTCACAGAAGCGGGGTCAACTCAATGGCCTCAGAGCAATCGCTCTTTGCTATTGTACAAGTTTAACAATAAATTAAGAAGCTAATTAACGAAGATATTTCTGTTTCTGGGTTTTAAACCGGACAACACCTGAATACTTGATTAAGATGAAGCTTGTTGAAAGCACATTACAACGCAGAGAACAACAACAACAGAAACAACACACAATCATCAAACAATGCTTTATTCTGAAAGCCTACAGTCTAAAGGTGAAACCATGAAATACACAACTAAACAGCACACGGCTTTAATTAAAGTGGCAAAACTACTAAAACTCTTAAAGCATATTAAAATGAGACACAAACAACACACAACCCTCACACAACATCAAAACTCCAGAAAATGGAGTGATGCAGAGACAAGAAGCATTGTTTACTTTTGGGGTGGTGGCGGCCTCTTACTCCCGTAGCCTATAAGGTCCCCTATCTGCTTCTTGGTGCTTCCCTTTGAGGAGGAAGATGAGCCCTTTGATGCATTATTTCCATTTCCATCACTCTTCTTCTTCTTGTTTTCATCAGAAGCATACTTGCTTCCATAACTCAAGTTATCTCTGATGCAGTTTTTCCCCTTCCAATTATTTGACGAACTCATCTCTGCATATTAGCAATCATCACTCGGTTGTTGTTCCTTTATATATATAAATGAACTTGCTACCTAGAAATCAAGGAATGTGATTCAACACAACAGATATGGTTTTGGAAGCTCAATAAATAAAATATATATACAACGAATTTAAATGAGTAAACGGAAGTAAAATTCTCAAATACCATACCATGAGACATGCCCACTTGCGCAGTATTTATGCGATTCAAAACAAAAACAGGATTTCACACAAAAACAGAAGATGCGAAAGACAGGGCAAATTCTCAGACCGTCTCTATCAACGAAACAGCCAGATTGAATAAACAGTAACAGATTCTACCCAAAACACACACACACACACACACACACACACACACACAGTGACAAATCAAGGAAACAACAGAATCGGAAGCCAATGACTACGTGACCGAGCAGGGAGTGAAACTCAGTACTGTCGTCTCCGAGTTGATTGTGCAAAGCAGGAAGTTGTCTTCAAGCACAAGCATAAAACGGGTTTTCGGATCCGCGTCAGTTCCGATTCCATGAGCAGCAAAATGAATCGAATTTCAAGGGGCGAAACACATATTCATTATCCAGAGAGAATTTCTACCAGCCTACTCCCTATTTGCCATCTCTTCTCCGAGTCTCGCCTCTCATCTCTTTCTCTACAATCTTCTCTCTCCTTTTCTCCAACATGGTCGCCCCCGGTCTGAAACGGGTTTTGGATCCGTCTCGGACCCGACTCGATTAGCGGCATCATGACATGATCCACACCGACCCGTAGCAACTTGAACTTTCTACAAGAAGCTGTGAAACATGAGATGGATCAACCTTCCCCTGAGCTCTTTTAATGAGAGTGTTTCCAGAAAAAAGAGATCGATCGAGGGGAGAGGAGAGGTTCCGAAAGGAAGCGGAAGATTGACGTCATCATCGGCGGCGCCGGCTACCAGGTTTCATAGGCAAGTGGCTGACAACGGGGCAGCGACGAGGACCGTGGTGGTTCCAACACCCCTGTCGTCCACTCATTCGCCGTCCCCTCATTCTCGCCCTCTCAGAGAAGCGAAGATGGCCGACGGATGGTGGTCGCAGGGAAAGTTCTTCAGGACGTTGTTGGCTCATTCACTGACCAGAGGCGAAGATGGCAGCCGTCGACGACGACGCGGCCATTATGAGGGTGGCGTCGTTGTGTTCGAGCAAGGTTCCAGTACCCCTGTCACTAAAAGAGCGCCGTCGACTGCGCAGTGACGAGGACCATGGTGGTTCCATCACCCCTGTCGCCCGCTCATTCGCCGTCCCCTGAATCTCACGTGCTCAGAGAAACGAAGATGGCTGGCGAAAAGTGGTGGCGGGAAATGTTCTTTAGTACGCTGTCGGCTTATTCACTGACCTGAGGGGAAGATGGAAGCAGTCGACGACGGCGCGGCCATCAGGAGGGTGGTGTTGTGATCGAGCAAGGTTTCGTTGGCGCCGCTGCTCTCGAGACGATGATATCGGTTGATATCCGACGCGAAAACAAAGTAGAAACAAGCAATCCAAATATGTAAAGAATGGAAGAACGAAATTGCTTGTGTAACAGAAGAAATTGTAGCAGAAAAGGTTTTGTTGTCTAGAGATGATATTTGAGTATACATTCAGGGGAGTTTACCTGCAGGGGAAGCGACTCCGGCCGACGAATGCTTCCGAGCTTGTTCAGGCCTTTCACCTAAAAGAAAGGAGAGATTAATAAGGCATAAATCAAAAGCTTAATGCTCTGATTCAGAAGTCTGTGATGCGAAGACACATATAGAGGTGTGAACACGGTGGCGGAGTGAGGATTCTGTGGAAGTGCAATTTCATAAATTATAAAAATATTATTTTTATAATTTATGAAATTGCACTTCCACAGAATCCTCACTCCGCCACCGTGTTCACACCTCTATATGTGTCTTCGCATCACAGACTTCTGAATCAGAGCATTAAGACAATATTAACCATGATTTTTCCCCCAAAAAAAAAAAAACTATGTGAGCACCCTTACTTATTTTACTGTATACATTAATTACTACATTTTGGTGATGGTATCATAAGTCTCTCATTAACATTTTGGACATTAGAAAGGACAACATATATCCCAAATCCAATATCTCGAAGGATGAAGTTAAACTTGACATCCAATTCCTGTTAAAAATCATTCTAACTTGCTGTGACATATCCACGTAACGATGATTTCGTGCAACATTTCTTTTTTGATAAACTTCGTGCAAAATTTCTTGTAATTAAGTTAATTGCATTTGCACATTTCTCATTTTAAAAAGTATTGTTTATTTCTTGTTTTCTTTTCTCAAACTTTGGTTTGCATTCTGTATTCAAGAAAAGTGGTCTTATAAAATGCGTACTTAATATTTCGTGTTATTAGTTATTATATCCCCCCACCAAACAATTTTAATGAAAAAATTAATCATTTGATTCTTAAAATTTTAACTTAATTATAACTTAATTCTTAAACTTTAACTTGCTTTGAATTAATCTTTAATATTTTGATTTGGTTATAACTCAATCCCTAAACTATGACTTATTACAACTTAGTTTTTATAGTCTTAACCATTTAAAATATCAGTCCATATATCTTAAAAATAAAATTCTAAAAATTAAAATTATATTAACATTTGGAGATTAATTTTAAATTACTATAACTTTTAATGTGATGAAGATTATAAATATTTAATATTCTAATTTTATTTTTAAAATGTAGGAACTAATATTTTAAATGGTTAAAAACTATGAGGACTAAGTTACACTAAATCAAAATTCAGGAATTAAGTTAAAATCTGATTACGATTTTAAGAATTGAGTTACAATGAGTTGAAATTTAAGAATTGAATTATAGTTAAATCAAAATTATAGGAACCAAATAATTAATTTTTCTTTGTTAAATTGCAGTAATCAATAAAATTTGGGTTAATATATATTTTTACCTTTGAACTTTTGCTTGAGAAGTAATTTTACCCAAGTACTTATAAGTTTGGCAATTTTATCCTTAAATTATTTTTTTGAGGAGTGTTAGGCACCTTGTAGAAGAGTTTTTTTACTCCTCAAAAAAATTATTCAGATATAAAATTGCCCCACTTATAAATACAGAGGTAAAAATTTTAGCAACGTTTTTTTTTACTCTTTTGAATTAACTTTGATAGTGTTTTGAACAGGGGAATATTTGTAAATGAAAAAAAAACTTTGACATAAAAAACTTCTCACAAAGAATAATGAAGTAGGGCTTTTGGCTGCATTTATAAAGAAAATCAATGCTTCATCACATGACAAGCATCTTCTTTTCTTTTGGGAGGATTACATTCAATAGTCTTGAAAGAAAATTATTTATTGACGATAACCAAGTCTCATTTAAAAAAATTTTATTTTTTATTTCAATAATAATTTCTTTTAGATTGATTCTTATATGTGAATAATTATTTTTTTTATTTCCGTAGATATAATTTTGAGAAAATTATTCAAAAAGACTCCACTGCAAATTATTCATCTATAAGGACTTAGAAACTTTTGTATAATGAGGTCCTTTACTGGCAATATGTTTGAAGGTAAAAAGACAAAATTACCTTTGACAAAATCTTTCTCTCTCCTCAAAAATTCTCTCCTTGCATGAGAGCTTCTTCAACCTCTAGTAAGCATTTGCCTCAATGGCATCTCCTTGACAACTGCTAAGGAGATGGCATCTCCTTGACAACTGCTAAGGAGAGGGAGTTGGTGTGTCTGAGTGTTGTTTTGATATGCAAGTTGGTACTTTAGTTAGTGGTATCATGTGTCAGTGATTTAGAGCAAACGGAGAGATTAAGGTTCCTTGGCTCTTAAGTGTAAGCTTACAATTTTTGTGATTTTGCTTATTCTTGTTGATTTAAGCTTTCAAATTTGTTTTGTTCTTGCAAATTTGTCCCAAAAGCCAAGGTTTTGACGAACAATCTGGATTTAGATTTGTGCAAGAAAGAGCATAGGCAAACATTAAGTGGAAGGCATGGTTTCTGACGAATAAAGCGGTGAAAATTCATGGATTCTATTTTAGAAGGTATTGTTTAAATTTTCTTGATAATGCTTTTTTCTGAGATCTCTCATACTCTGTTTCTTAGATATCACTTTCCTCTGTCAATTTGATTGTTTACATTTCTTATTGAAGTTGGATGATGTAGTGGATCAACTAAGAGAGCCATTGTCTTGAATCCCCATTTAGCAATAATCTATGCTGCTAGAGGTACTTAACTAATTGAGATGGATTTTGTCATAGGTACAAATATTATCAAGCATATGCAATTGGTTTTCCTATATATATAGGCATCTTTAAGTGAATGTAATCATCTTTTACGAGTGAGCAATTAACCACGCATATGCAAAAGATTTCCCTCTGATATAGTAGGCTCTTCTCATTTGTAAAAGTCTTCCTTATATGTAACTAATTAGTCCGTATATGCAATTTATTTTCCTTGAAATAGATTTTGTCATGGTGCAAATATTATCAAGAATATGCAACTAGTTTTCTTGTATGTGCAAGCATCTTTAAGCAAATACAATCATCTTCCATGAACAAGCATCTGACCACGCATATACAACATATCTCCCTTTAATGTAATAACCCATATGCATATGCAAAATTTTTCAAGATAACTGACTAGTATATTCCAATAAATGTTGCATTTAGAACTTAGAGTAGCCATTTATTCTAATATAATATGCGTTTATCATGAAAAACTTAACATTTAGAGCCTCGGTGTCATTAATTTTTTAATATAACAAACTTGTATATTTAAATAAATGTTAGTTTTTCATAATAATCGTTTAAGATATCCTAAAATTTTAATAGTTAGTAATGTTATTAAGCTTCTATAATCTCAATTTTCAGGATAATTATAAAGGATATTTAAATATATATGAATATAATGTAATAGTAGAGCGCATATAATACATATTTTCATGATAATTGTAAAGGATATTTGAATATATATATATATATATATATGTATAATAACATATAATTTTCATGATAGCAACAATTAATATCCTATACAAATTTTTATTTCTTGAACTTTGAATACAAGGTATATACTCTATTTTTCTATGCAAATAAATGTAAGTTGATGGACATGAACATATACCTAAAAAAAAAAATCCATCCTAATTATACTCATAATCTATTTTTCCTTCTTTGATTGTTGACCAAATGATATAAATGCTAGCATCTTGCAATCTATTCTTCTCATAGGTGACTAGCTACCAAACCAATTCCACCCTTTTCTTTGTTATATCTTCTTGCAAAACATTTATTTGTTTTCATCATACAACTTCACTTAACTTGAAAAATACTTGAACATGTCATGTAGGCATGATTGTATTGTTATCCTAATCTACACTCTTCTCATTTTGTCATCTTTACAACCAAGATACTACATGCATCCCACAGTCTCACCTACATTAACCAAATGTATCAACCATTGTGAAGTTCAGAACCTATATATATTTCAACTATATTATACTCACCAATTGTCTTACTATGAGACAAGTGCAAATTAGAAACCTAAGTTAAGTATTTGTCTATATTCATTAGGTTTCACATATGCAAGAAGTTGAAAAAATTTTTAAGCCTGTATACATTTAAAAAGAAATTATAACCAAGGTATACGGCATAATATCTAAGTTTTAAAATATATTATATTAGAAGGATGGTATACCAATTTCTTCCCCATCTCCCTCTTCTTAGGAAAAATAACATCGGCACACGGACTTTCTAAAGTCAATAGTAATGAGTCAAGGAAGTAGACTGTTAGTTCCCCTTCCCCTTCATCATCATTTCTTACCACCTAGACTTCTTAAAGTTCACAACCTATTTTAACATTGGCAAAAATTAATTGTAACTTCTTAGTTATGGGATAAAATCCCCACAAATCATAAATGAAACTTTGAAATAAATTAAACAAGTTAAGAAACAAAGATTAAGGGTTGTCTAATAATGTACCTCAGACCCAAAGCCGCAAAAACTTTAATGCCACTGCCGATGTCCCTTAAGTATCACCTAATTGGAGTTGCCAAGAGGTTAACAAGTTACCAATGCTACCAATTCTTCCTCTTCTTCATTTGTTTGTTCTACTACTCGCGAAAACCTCTGATCGAACTTTTTTTTTGTTTGAATTTTCAAATCTGATTTGCCAGGGGCATTTTGGTCTTTTAACAAGAGGACGATAATACCACAGAAAGACCTCATTTTCCAAAACTCTTCAACTCTCTTTTGGCAATTAATTTTCTTGTTAGTTTTTTTTTTGACAATTTTCCCTATAATTTTCCCTTTTTTCTTGGTGCACCCGACGTACGTATACATCACTCCTTTCTCTTTTTGGCATATAATAGGAGGGTTCTGCATTCTTCAACTAGAGCTCAGGGTTCAGGAACAGAATAGTCTTTGGATGTCATGAATTATAAAATATTCCTCCCCCGTTTATGAAATAAATTATAAAAAATTTATATGATCCTATTTATAAGTTATGATAGTTTTTTAAGTAATATTTAAAATTATTATTTATGAGATAGAAAAAGTAACATAACATTATTTTTTAAATTTATATAAGGGTGTATTTAAAATTATATACTTCCTCTGTTCAAAATTATAAGGTATTTTTAATTAAATTACCTCTAATAAAATAGTTACTTGTATTTAAACTAATCACATCTTTTTATATTAATCCTATTTAATAGGATATTTTATCCACAAATAAATATAAAGTAATTTATTCAATAAAGGCACTTTTAAAAAAATGTAAAAATTATACATTGAAAGAATA